TGTTCACTTATACAAACTGATGTTAAGAATTTATGCTGATTTACTAATATTAATGTCGTTTCCTTCCGTATGACTCTAATGCTGCTAATTCGTATATTGATTATTTCACGATATACTATTTACTCTGTTCTACTTTCTTTTTGTGCAAGCCATCCACAAAACATAACACGAATGCAAGCGTATACTAAGTTATCATTATCATCAACTTCGTACACTTCCGTAACTGAATTCAACTCAAAACGTTTGGCATGTAGCTACCGTCTATCCTGTTACTATGTGCTTTGAAACTCAGTTGATGTCAAATCTGTAATAATATCTTACGTAAGAAACGTATTCGTTATTTTCAAGTATTGGTTTGTAGGGATTTGACTGATTGCTTACAGGATTTCATCATGAGTTGACATCGGTTAAAGAACCATTGAAAAACCAACCTGGGAGTACTGTACAGCTTTTTCGTCCTAGTTTCAGACTCTTCACAGTATACACCCACCGGTGTTCTCTAACCAATGTCAGCTCATGATGAAATCCTGTAACCAATCAATCACATGCCTAGAAACCAATACTTGAAAATCAATGAGATGTTCACTAGCGACTGGCCCTATTCAGGTAGGTAGTTACCTGGGGTTCTAGTGGGAAGTCGTGACCAGTAGGGTGCAGCAGGTCTAGTGTGAGAACAAATACTCGACGAAGACATTGGCTAGCGATCGCGCTATGTCGTGAATTGACAGAAGCTGGAATTCATGGGCTGCCCATTGGATCAGGTCTCATTGGCTTAACTGTTTACGAGCTAGCTCGCCTTGTGATCGGAAAGTTGTGACTTCGAACCCTAGCGGTTGTTGCGTATTGATGAAGAGTCCCAAACTAGGGCGAAACAGCTATCAAGTGACCCCGGGCTTTCCAATGGTTCTCTAACCCATATCAGCTCATGATGAAGTCCTGTATTCGTTATTGTTAGAATGAAAACAGATTTTCTTTCACAACAGTAAGAATCTGAAAGAAATTTTCACTAACGAATAGTCTTGGTTTGGACCAACCTTTCACACTAAGAAATATTTAAATTATTTATTCTGCTGACGAATTCCATATGACACAAAGAACTATATGAAGAAATAGTAAAGTTTGGAAAACATACTTGATATCATAGATAAAGTTCATGATGGTGAAAATACGATAACTCTGAATGTAACTTCATTGTTTATAAATGTTACCTTGACAGTAAGGTTTGATTTCTTATGTGAACAGCTGAATGAAAAGTAATATTGTATATGAATTCCTGCTTAACTTCACCATGATTACAAATTTTAAACAGAACCTGACAAACATATAGGCAGGATACTATAGACTCTCCTATCGGTTTTATAAAGACAGCATTCGTCTTGACTAAACTTGAAAATACTCCATTGAACGAGTTCATGAGAAAATTCACATAATGAGTTTGTACAGCGTGGGAACAAACTAAACAGATGAAAAAGACCACTGAGTGCAACCAGCACTTAAATTTACAAGGTGAAATAAACTTTCTAGATGTTTCTTTGTCAGGCGAAACAGATGGATATAGATAAGAAAGACCGTTTTCAAAAAACAAACATGCTTTCTGAGCTTTGTCCTTATTCAGTACATACAAAAATCCGATGGAAAACTTTAGCTATGGTTTTAAGAATAAGTTTGAATATTATGTGAAGATGCTATTGAGATACCTTCATACGAAAACATAGCATTACAAAAGTATGAAAATAATGCGTCTCAATTGTGAAATAAGTACCCTTTTGTAAAGCCGTACAATTCAGAGTATACTTTTACAGTAAGGCATTTAACCCAAAGATTTTAAGATGTTAGAGTTCCTGCAACCACTATATCTGCTAGGTTCAATTTTGATATCCAGAACAAAAGACAGATTATTTGGGCCTGCTGTTTCACTTTATGTTGGTTAACTCAGATAATTGCAAAGTCATTAACATTGACTGTAGTTATAGGATAGCACTTTTTCACATAACAGAATGCTTCAAAGAGGGAAGATTTTCATGACTTAATACGCATGTCTTATTTTAAGGCTCCTCTTCAACTGACGACAAACTGAAATATGCATTTTTCTTTCTTTTCGTCTGGAGTGGAATACAGTACTTCAAGCTTAAAGCTTCATTAACGGTGGTGTTGTTTTTAAGGGATGAGGTTTCTGGCCTCAAAATCAACCTCTCCTCATTTTTGAGCTTACTAACAGCTGATAAACTAGCGCGAGGTTTAAGAGTACATTAGCTGAGAATCAAACCCGGACTTCCTACGTGCCTGACAGGCATTCTACTACTGAACTACTGATATATCAAATGTGCGCAGAACCGCTGAAATAAGAGCATACAACTTTTCTATTCCACCCAGAACTTAGTTAAGAAGATCGCAGGTTTAAAAAGCAGCAGTGGGAAATATGTGATTCCGTTCTCATGGCAAGTGATAAGAAAAGAATCAAGTTCCTTTTTTGTTCATAATGATAAATGATCTCCGAAGAAGAGAATAAACCCCGCTTTACTTCAGTTCGCAAAATCTTTTGACATCCAGGGACTCAGATCAACTGGTGTATACTGATAGAAACTATGATTATTGCCATTTTATACCAGTAACAACTACCCCACTTATTACAAAATTATTTATCATTTTTTTCACTACTACTAATACCATTATTATTGGTGCTATTATCGTCCTTTTGATTCACTGGTCTCAACCCACTGAAGTGACTTCATATCACCTCTAAATGCTTTCTCGTATGTGATTAAGTAATCTATCTCCTGCATTTTAGCAGTTAATGACGTTTTGTTCCTAAGCCGTATGTTGAAAATTCTCGAATCCTCTTCCAAAAGTCTGATAATTGACAAATCTCTTCTCATTTCAGTTGTAATGATTGCGTTATCACATTTCATTTTTGGTTTTCCTAAACTCCAGCCTTCATTACAAATTTCTGCCCAGTAGAATATAAGATATGTGTTCTTATTTCATTAATCCTATGTATATTATAGGCTGTCTGAGGTTGAGAAGAAGTCTTGAAGTAAGGTGAACACTTTATTATGCAAATCATTTCATTCCTGTTTTGATGAAGGCAAACAATTGAGCACATTGTTTGGATTTCAATAGACCATAGATATTATATTCTCGTCATCTAAAGCGTGCAAAATTACCAAAGTCCAGAAATTATAATAATTGAATAACCATGACTAGGTATGCAGGTAAAACAAGTGAAACGACGGTTACTTCTTCGGCATGTTTATATCTGGTGAATTCCAAAACGCTTTGTTCGACGTAACCACTATTTTTCTGTAATTATTCGTTGCTGTATATGTTTCTCAACAATTGATAAGCATTAATACATTTAATTACTGATACAGAAAGTACCTAACGGCATATTCGCCTTTCTAATTGTTATGCTAATAGTTAAGCCATTTATTTTCTCATTAGATGTTTTCAGTCGTTATTAGATGGTTAGGGGCAATCGGCAGGTAGCCTGAGACCTAAATGTAATGCACTCATCAGTAAGGCCTATCTGCAGCTTTGAAGGAAGTCATACCCCGCCTGATATTCGAATTCATGTCACCCAGGGCTGGGGTCGGAGATTTTACCGCTGAACTGTTTGCGTTCTTTGTTGACCTAGTGATTAGTGTCATGTATCGAGTCATCTGTTCGGTGCAGACTGAATTCTGTCAGTCAAGTTTGCAATGTGACCAGCATGTTAATTGACTTGCCTACACGGCTGATCCTGAATTGTTAATATTAGTTGGCTGGAAGAAATCGGCGGGAATTCTTGGACCTGGATACACGACAGTAGTTACTAACTACTCTCCAGTCAAGATGTTTTTAGTTTCAGGTTCAAAGCGTCATATGTGGTATTCTCATAAATGAACATCAATCGTATATCTGAATTACTTGAGAACAACTTAAACTGCGTAACACATGATGCTTGTCAGCGACTGAAATAAATAAGATAGTATTTACTGATGAAATAAAGTGGCACCGTATTTAAATGCTTTTTTAGAGTCAGTGTTATCATGTAAAGAAAAGAAAATATTATCATTCTATTTCACAGGTTCTCATCACCTGCAGACTACCTGAAATTACAAAAGTTGTACAGATGATAATAACATACTTTAATGTTTAAGTGGTAGTAGAGAAGAAATACTATAAAACTGATGCATCCGAAATGTAAGCCACTCAAAACTGCATAAATACCCTGCTGATGTCACCTCCAACTGCGTTTATGAATCTACGTGCACTTGCCAGAGCAAGTACATCTGAAGGACGGAAAGAAGAGCTTCTATCCGGTTTTCTGGACATATTCCAATAAACCTGTGCCTGAAAATAAGCAAATATTCTCAGGGTGCAATTACCAGACAGATTGTCGATACCGGATATCTCGTGGAGATTTGTAAGTCCTTCAAAATATAAAATAAATAGATAAAGGGCGGCAAATTTACAACGATTTGCCGAAACGATCACAATCAAACGATTCAAACCAACCAAACTTATGCATACAGAAATAGAGTGTGATTAACCTCTCACTCCATTGGTAACTGAATTTTGATTTTGATTACATTAATTAGTCATCTAATTCAGTGATCTCAAATCACTGAGCAAATCTCAATCTGATTAAGTTTAACCGCTTTTGCTTTTGAGTTGCTGTGTGAACCTACAAGCTGTTCGGTTAATTTTTTTCTCTTTTCTGTCTTACCCTTCCTCCTCTCTTCTACTTTTAAAGCGTATAAATTGATGATGAAAACTCAAACTTAAAATGGTAATGCTTACATTTTGGATGCGTCAACTTAATAGTATTTCTTCTTCGCTACCACTTAAACATTAAAGTATGTTACTATCATCTACATAATCCATTGTAATTTCAGGTAGTCTGCAGCTGATGAGAACCTGCGAAATAAAAATGATATCATTTATACCACAAATTTCGTCTCCCTTTCTTTATCGAAATTTATCAAGGGAACCAAATGTATGAAAAGAAAATAACTCACAATGATCATTGGCTTGTGGTCATTACAGTCTTGCACTAGAAGATGAATCCATGCATCACTACTTCTACCAGCGCCATCAGTTGCTGTTACAATTAATGTTAAATTTGCTTGATTTAAGTCTTTTAATCCTAAATCAGTTAGGTAGATATATTCTCCTGAAATAAATAGTCGTTGTCGTAATTGTTCAAAGTTTTGTGTTTGATCACTTAGATGATATGATACCCGACCGAATTCACTGTCTGCTTCATCCATATCATTTGCATTCAAACGTAACAATTGTCTTTGATTAATACACTCGGGAACTTGAAAAGAATACTTAACAATCATTCTACCTTGTGCAGTTTCTTCTAACATCTCTTTTGGTTTTGAAGTGATCCTTTCTGACCCAATGAACAAAAGGCTGCTAGATGATAATCCTGTTTCAAGTTTATCTGGCCACAGGGGAGCATGATCATTGATATCTCGAATTACTATTCGTAAAACTGTTTCCCCCTTTCTTCCACCGGAATCAATAGCAACAAGTTTTATTGCATAACGTGATGCCTGTTCTCTGTCAAGCCTACCAATTACCCTTAAACATGGTACTAAAGGAAGTGAATCCTTGTTCGTTTCTTGATTAGAATTATAAGTATAATTTAATGCATATACTTCATTTGCAGTCATCTCTTCACATTGAATTCTTAGCCCTCTAAACTGTACAATTTCAAATAATTGCATCACTTCTCCCGGTGTAGAAACTGGATGGAATTCGTACCTTATAATACCATGTTCAGTTGAGTCCATATCATTAGCTATTGGTAGTGACACCATTGTTCCAATAGGACATTCTTCTTCAATGGTTATAATCCTTGGATGATTTTCAATTCCAGGCACTTGTGGAAAGTATGGTGAATTATCGTTTATATCCAGTAGAGTTATAATTAATTCAATGCATATTAATTCCTTTTTATGTTTGTTATCGTTCACATTCATAGGAGATTCCTTTTCATTTGAAGTATGCAATTCAGTTTGATCCATAGCTTCATTATTTATTTTATAAGCTGCTATGAGAATAGTTATTTTACACTGTTTATTAGTATTCTGTAAATCATTACAAATGTATTCTCGATCCAACGGTACACCAAATTTCATAATTCCTTTAATTGGATGTAAATCAATAAGATTTAGTAAATTGTTCTGATTTCTTTGTTTATATGCAGTCAGTAGATTGGCGCTAATATCGAGTATTTCAAAATTCATAACTTTTGAACTACTACGTTTGTCTGCTTCATCAATTGACGTCTCTAATAGAATACCATGATTATGCATAATCTGACTTAAATTTATTAAATCTGATTTGATAACTGATGATTCTGAAATGCTTAATAGAATTTGATAAGGTTGTGTTAAATTAGCCTGTCCACTGACTTTATCATCGCTGGTTTCAAATATTTCTGAATATAAATATCTGTTAGAGCATGACGGTATTATCAGCGCAGTAAATATAATATATAAACAGATATTCTGTTCTTGTAGCTGTTGTCTTCTCCACATTCTAATATTCAAGACATTGTATAGCTTTCTTGAAGATTCATTGAAACACTGAAAAAAATCATAAGAAATAAAACAATAATGTTAAATGTTTTACAAAATTAACAAATTTGAAGTAAGCGCGTTAGTAATTTAAGTTTATTCACTAAAACAAGAAAGTTGTCTGTAGGAAATAATCAAGCGTAAATCCTACTCTTTTTTGACAAAATTGTTAATTAGCATTCTATTCTGTCTACTATTAGATAATATTTTACAACCGAAAGTTGAATGACACCATAAGTAAAAATTAATTTAGCTGTCTAATTGTTATCATCATTCTCCTTACATTTAAATGCTATCAATTTTTTATGATGTCAGTTATTCGTGTATATGATGCTATCATGCTATCGTATTTTCAAGCAGTTTTCAGATTTCTGTACTGAAGCTATGAATTATGAATGAAAGTTGTCATAGTCGTTGGATTCAAGAACAAATTAACCACATAAGGAAGTATTTGTTGTATTCAGCTCTAATGAAGCTTCTATTTTTATCTAAATAATCTCTGAATTTAGTCAGCGTTTCGATGCTTATTCCCCAAAGTTATTGAATATAATGTTCAAAATTGATGCAGTTTAGTTTGTTGTAAGGGAAGTAATTCCCTTTCTGATGCATCCTTTATCACTATGCATTTTAAATTTATTTACTTTTCATTTCCAGTGGAACGTGTCAATGAATAAAAAGGCATTATTGTGATACTTATGAGCGACAAATGCCTCTAGGTCTTTTTTTATTTTTTGTGAAGCGGGAAAATTGAAAATCGAATGTTCAACCGGAAAATTTATGATCGAACTGATGGAAATGGAAACTGATCTCTATGGTGTCGTACAGTATAGTTTGAGATAAAACCACGAGACAAAAACTACATAACTAACGTTGAACCTCTCAGTAATTTTAAAATTTATGAATTCTCTTTAGGAACTTATCACCACTAATAAATAGTTAGAAATGCTTCCTGAGATAAAGCATAGATTAGCATTGGGAATTTCATAAAACTGAAGAAAAAATTGAAACGTAATACGTGTATCAGGATTCGTCCAACTTATGGTGCGAATATTGTTCACCAGAGTTTAAGCCGATGCATTAGCGACTGAATGAAATATTTTAATGTTTTAGATTATCATATCTTATTGGTAACATCATCACAGTGTATATCGGCAAGTTGGACTGGTTTTTGTGCGTCGGTGGTACAGATGTAGAATGCTCGCCAACCACGCATATGGTTCGGGGCTTGATCCCCACCTGACGCACTCCTAAACCTCACTAAGACCGGTAATAAGACCCTGTGAAAATAAACATAACTGCTGCCGAGACTTCAAACCTCTAACTTGAAGCCCCGTGTTCCACTGGGAACGTAAAGAAATAAAATAAATAAATGAAATAAAGGATTGATTTCATCCTGATGAGTGAAAGCGTACGTACCAACTTCATGACTATCTGACAATTAGTGATACTAAACATTGACATGACTGTTTATAAAATCTATTCAATGTATACCATTTTCTTGTAGAAGTCATTACATATTACATTTTTTAAATCATTTAGATGAACTGAATCAGCTGTGCTTGATCACAACTCAATCTAAAGTCGATTCTTGATGAAAGACGATTTATCAGTATATAATATATAACCATATGCTCAATAATTCTAGTACAGTTTTTTTTATTTCTATCTATGCATAGAAAAAGGGCTACCTAACCTGTCATATGCTCTGATGGTGTTCTCGTGACTTTTGTTGCCAGATCCGCCAAGGGCGATGGGATAGGTTTGAAGAAGGCTGTGAGCTATGTGCATGCGCCTCGCCCTGATAATGTTTTGCGTTGGTGGCACAACGGTAGAATGCTCGCCAACCACGCATGTGGTCCGGGGTCCTATCCCTGGTCGACGCACTCCTTTACCTCGCTAAATCAGTAATAAGACTGGTAAAGAGGGAAGGCTGGGCATGAGGCTAGCAACCCCATCCTGTAATAATAAATACCGCTGCTACAGAAACTTCAAGCCACTAACGTGTAGGAATAAAAAAATACAAAGAAAAAAATACAAGGTCATAAAAATTGCTTTTCTACAAAAATTCTAGGATTATTGTTCATATTCTAACATTTACTTCCGGAATATTCCCCCGATAATACTGAGAAAATATTTAATTTAAGCAAATAACTTCTGTCAGGGTCAGCATATATGTAGATTTGGAGTTTTGGTAAAATTCATCAGTCAGTGGGAATACTGACAGACAGTAAATCAACATACTTGTGTCAAGAAAGGGACCACATACCATCTTCTTCGTAAGAAGGGATAATCAAACGAAGATAAAGGAGACTAGTACTAGTGACAGTCAAGGCATTGAAACAAATCACTGCTCATATGGTTACTTCACATGTCTGAAATGCAAATAAAACATTGGATGACTGTTTTTAAAAATACCTTCTACAAACAAAGTGGTGTAGTTCTCTGTAATAAAAACCACTCGACAGGAAACAGTCACTGACATTAGGTGCTTCTAAATCTCAATATCTTTCTTTGATAAAAGTTATGACGGAGGGGGGTTAGGTACCGCATAAACACTTTTGAAAGCAGAAAATAAAAAGAATACCTCTATTCAGAAGAAAAATATGATGTGGTAGAAACGATTTTGAAAAATGGGACGACTTTTAAAATGGAAATTAGACAATTATTTTTTTTTCCTTCACGTTCCCAGTGGAGCATAGGGCTTCAAGCTAGTGGCTTGAAGTTTCTGTAGCAGTGTTTATTTTACAGGATGGGGTTGCTAGCCTCATGCCCAACCTTTCCTCATCATTACTTCTGGCTTAGCGAGGTAAAGGAATGCGTCGACCGAGGATCGAACCCCGGACCATGTGCATGGTCGGCGAGCGTCCTAACCGCTATGCCACCGACGCATAGACAATTATTTAGGTGTCACTATACTGAAGCGAAAACCATAGTGTTCCCTCTCTGATTGAATTTCTGCACGAACGGCTTTAAGTACTCATGTAAATTGTGTAGTGCAAGCAGTACCAGGGTTGTGTGACGAATGCAGCTAGAAAAACTCATACAAGACTGAATGAAGGTGTTCGCGAGGTTCGTATCACTACATCTTTTCCAGACAGGCTTGAAATGATCCTGTTTTACCACTTGCTTATATAACTGCAGATTGACTCCCATATTGACTTCCAGGTAATTCTTTCAAACAGTCAAAGCAGTTGCCATAAGAAACCATAAATAGTTATATGAAAAACCTTTATTCAAACTTTACCCAAAATTATCTTCTTGTTTTCATTGCACAAATCCATGGATGTATACACTGTTTTATCTGTGTTGATTTAGGTTCTTATTACACCTAGGTCACATACCTATTGTGCAATGTGAAGTCAGTATCGAACCCAGCGTTCGTAGTCACACAGATTAGTCACCCACAAATACTTTGTTAATGTGACGTAATAAATTATAATTTCGATTGGTTGTTAGGTTAAACTTAACGTTGCTTACAAGTAGATTCATATCCACACAAATATTAAAGTATCATTTTTGCACATTTTCATGCGTGGAAGAATTTTTAGTTTAGCTATACCATGATACATGTAGGATAATAAACACCTAACATACTGTAAATAGAAAAGAAAAGGCGTTCAGCAAAGAGTTATTCTTTTCGGCGATATCATTCTCAAGCTGTACAAACCGCAGATTTATAGTAATTTTATCTTGGCAACAAAAGGAATGTTTCCAGAGATATGTTAATGCAATTGTTAACTTTTGACAACATATTACGTAATTTAGAAGGCGTTAATCGGTTAGAAACTAAAATAAAGTTTCAAAAGTAGGTTGGGTGACGTAATCTAATTGCTAGTGTTCAATGAAAAATGAATGAGAGTCAAGTTAATAATCTGAGTAGAATTCACTTGAAAATGAATGAGAGTACGAATTAAACTTCTTCAAACTGCAGAAGCAATGGCAATTCACATATTGAATCCTGAACTCTGCATACAAAAGAAGTTTGTTCAGTCACTAAATCTACAATGGTCCTGATCTATCTCAACACCGAATAAGTAATTTTGTCTTACCTCTTTCTTCTTTGTTTGTCTGTTTCTTAATTGCATTATTTTCTACCCCCACCCCCTATTAAATCTCTACCTTCATGACGACTGTTGCTAACTCCATTTTCGTTTATTTTCAAGTGAATTCTACTCAGATTATTAACTTGACTCTCATTCATTTTTCATTGAACACTAGCAATTAGATTACGTCACCCAACCTACTTTTGTAACTTTATTTTAGTTTCTAACCGATTCTAAATTACGTAATTTGTTGTCAAAAATTAACAATTGCATTAACATATCTTTGGAAATATTCCTTTTGTTGCCAAGATAAAATTACTATAAATTTGCGGTTTGTACAGCTTGAGAATGATATCGCCGAAAAGAGTAACTCTTTGCTGAACGCCTTTTCTTTTCTATGACTGAATGGGAATTTTCAAAATACTGTAAATAGTCGAAAAATTATATGGATGTAATCAATCAATTCATAGGTTCCTTGACCTGCTAGTTTATTTCTCATGAAGACATTTCGATTCCACTTATCTCATCTACAACTGTTATCTTTTTATGTGAATTTGACCGGTTTTAATTTCGCTTACAGATTGATATCAGTCAGAGAAACACTAAAAACCAGAGAGAACTAGACATTTGTATCGTCCCGGCTTTTCATTCTTCAATGGTACTCACATATGACCCCAATTAGGATCGAACCGAAAACTCTCAGGTTACAAAGAAAGCCCATTGGCCGTTCAGCTGCTGGAATGGAGTCAAATGGCTCATGAACTCTGACTTCTATGAATTCGCGATTTTCAGCACCACAGATATCCAGTATCAACAAGGAGAATTTGTCCTCTAACCTGAGCTGGTAGACTTCACTGCACTGATTATGACTTTACATTAGAAAAGCGGGTAACTACTACCTGTAGCTAGTCACAGGTAAGCATCAGGCTAATTTCTAAGTGTTAGTTTGTAGAGATTTGGTTGGTT